GGGTGATGTGGTGCCATGATGTATGTGGAGAGCTTCACACGTTTACGGGCGGTGGGACGGTGGGGCACTTCGGCGCGCTCGCAGGCTGTGATGTTGTTTTTGTTTGTTCTGTGGCAAGTTGTGTTGGGGACTTTTTTTTGGCGCATCCAAACACCGACCGGTGCACGGCTGCGAGATACATGCTCATCATCATCATTGCTTCAACGAGCAAAATAAGTTCTTGCTAGACAGATCCATAACAGTAAAATCGAAGTCACGTGGCACAAGTGGTTGGTGCTCCTCACTACTTGCTTCACGGAGCAAGATTCGTTTCCGACATGGGTCGTCGTGTCGAATGTCGAAACGCACACAAAAAAACTGCCCAGCCAATGTCCGTGTGCTTACTGTTCTCCGTAGACATGCGTTTCTTCAAGAACCGGCATGGTGTGTGGCGGTAACAAGATGGTTCCTCTGCGTGTGCGGTCAAAGGAGCGCTACACGCGACGTCGGTATTAGTGAAGGGGGCTCCCGTATCGACAATGCGGGACGACGAAAAGTGTCGTCTCCCGTGTTGCGTGGGAATTACAAGTACGGTAGAGGCGCTCAAATCGAACACCCACTCGGACAGGATGTCGCCCGTGCCCCTCGTGCCACTATCGTAGCAGATAAGGAGAGGCTAAGACCATTGCCCTACATTTTTTCGTGGCATGAACACGGCCGGCGGTGGGCCGACTGCCAGGTAGTTCGTAGACGCGGCCCGGTCCTGTCGCACGATAGCCCAAGTGTTCCGAGGCACAGTCGTCGTCCTCGGCAGATGTTCTTCTACCGCTTTTGGTTTCGAGCCATTCAGTCTCCCCACCCACCCCTGTACACCGCAGGAAAAGGAAACAACAAGGAAACGCGATACCTCACACACCTCAGTGCCGCAAAAAGATTGCTCTGGCGCGACGCGTATCTACGAAAAGCCAGCAGTTATCCGAAGCACGTGGCTTGGATTTCTGAATAGCTTGTTCCGAGGAACGTTCCCCCGCAACGCCCGCCATTTCGCGAACGTCTCATCGTTTATCATCTCGCCGGGAGGAAATAAAACAAAAACCCCAACAAAACTCCCGTGTGACATTCCTCCCGTCTGACGTGAGACAAAAACGCCGACAGGTGTGTAGACTTCACCCAGAATAACTGGGGTACACTCACACGCACACAGACTTGTACTTGTTCGACTATCGACCACGGCGCACCGCCCTCACACCCTCACATCTCTTTGTCTCCCTCCCCCCCCCGACTCTCCGCACACACTACACACTACATGTGCCAAGTTCCAAGGCAGGCGAGACGAGCAAGCACAACAAACATCATTGCCACAACCTAACGTTACTCCGTCGGTCTCGGGGTAGTAATTTCTACGCTTGACGTTGCACACGAATCGCGAATCTGTTGTATCTAAGTGGTGCACCTAATTGCGCCCACACGGCCGTCTATACATTGCCCTTTGGGAAATCTGAAGCCCATTTTTTGTCTTTCTCCTGATTCCAGCGCCGATGGCAAGAACGGGGTCACACTCTACTCGAGGTTAGATCTAGATTTGACCTAGCGTTTGTCTCTAAAAACAGACAGACGACCGGTTTCTTGAAACAAAAAAACTACAAACACCAGCAAATCCCAAACGCCCGTGTTGGCCTTTGGAAACTGGCTCGGTGTCCTTCTACTCGATCATGTTGCTGTCTCGGATGGAGAACCGGTTTGTACAAAAAGCTAAGCTCGTTTTTGTTTTCAACAAAAATGACAAAAAAAAACATTACACAAGCAAATCCCAAATGCATTTACTGGACTAAAGAAACTGGCTCTGGGTGTCCTTACACTGTGATTTTGCCACCGCTGCTGTTGCTGTCCTACGCCAACAAAACAAAATCCCAGGCCAAGAGACACACAAATGAACTTCACCTCTAAACCTTGCTAGATCAACTCTCAACCGTGTCGTCTCCATCTAGACTATGAATATCTACATGCAGTGCGACACACACTGTGGCCATAACTTACACGGTGCTCAGTTGATACTCACTAGCTCGGCCCTCCGTCCTACCGCCCCCCCGGCGTCTCTAGGTCGTCACCTAAGACAGCAACAGGCGGTGGGGGTTCCCACCTACTCGCCCGCCCCCTCGCTACGCCTTCCCCTCCGCTGGGGGTTGGACCCGCCGCCGGCGTACTAATATATGCCAAGGTGGTAGGGTCAGCGGGCGACACAACGCCGTCACCAGCTCTACCGCTACGACTGCCACCACCGCTGCTGTTGAGGCGTCGCGCCTGTCTCGCGGTCGCACGCGCGGATCTCCACCTCGAAACCGACCAAGTATGTTCTTCTTCTTCTTGGCCCTCTGGACCCGCTCCCTCGCGCCTGCTAGTGCTGGCGGTGGTAGTGCTGGTGCTGCCGTACGTGACAGGGTCGGAGTCTGGGTTGGGTTGGCCGCCAGCAAACGCCATGGCCGTGACCCAGTTGTCCTCGGCCAACTTGGCCACGGGGATGTCGGAGTCGCGCTGCTGCACGAGCGCTCCGTCTTGTTCCAAAGTAGAGCGCGCGCGCGGGGGGGGGGGAGGGGTACAAAGTGCAAGCGTTAAGTAGAAACCTTCCTCGTGCTCAAAACCATGGTGTCACCGTCTCCGAACCAAACCAAAAAAGCCTTGTGGGCTTGCCGTTCTTGCAACAAGGCTAAAAATCGCCTTGTCTATGTGTCACCGCAGCTGTTGTACCGGAGTGTGAGGGGAGGGCGAGGGCGTGACGTCATGAGACCGCACGCGAATATGCGGCATCGTTTAACGGCAACTCTGGAGCGGGTAGGAAAAGAACAGGCCGGGCCAACAGGCTGCATGTACGCGCTGCATTACTCGGGTTTTGCATGTCGGAGTCGTCCCTGACTTAGAGGTAACCACAACAGCTCTCCACGGAGAACGTGCGCTATCAAACCCAAGAGAAAGGCCGTCGAACGTACAACAACAGGTGGGCAGCCTGGCAGGCCCCTCTCTCACATATCGAGTCGTTCGGGATCTCCTCCAACAACCCGACGTGCTCAAGCAGGTCATCATCGCCAACATCAGCGCCGTTCAAGCCTTCCGCGCTCCAGATCGACGCCCTTCCTCTGACAGCGTCCGATAGATCTGTCACCGTTGCTCGAAGCTTGAGAGAGAGAGAGAGAGCCGCAGGGTAGACGTATGCATAGCACGCGATAGTACCAACGTATTGCCGGGGGTGGGGGTGGGAGGTAAACATGGTGGCTTCGGATGGGGAGGGGGGACGAGAGCATCGAAAGACGATCCGTGAATACGATTCCACGAAACTCCACGGAAAATACCATGCAAGCTGTACTCACGCGGCGGAGGGTGGGATCGTGCGTAGCGGAACCCCCCTCCCCCCCCCACCGAGCCCCGCTTCCTATCCGAGAAAGCACTCCATGCACTTACCACGGGCATCCCCTGCGGGATCGACCACGCTCTCGCCAGAGAAATCCCTTTGCGCTTTCGTCGTTTCTCCGCCAAGGCGAGGATGCCTGAGCAGGTCGCGAACACCGCCGACACGGAAAGCGTGGCGAGGACCGCGCCCCAGGACCACTCCAGGTCGCACTCCGCATTGGGGGTTCCGCAGCAGTAGGCGCACTTGGTGCTGCTGCTGCGGGAGGGGATGCACGACACGCACGCCCGCGTCTGCGGGGACTCCACGTGCATGCAGTAGTATCTCTTCGCGCGTCATGTTCGAGGCAGACGAAGAAACGCACAGGGGGGGGGCGGGAGTTGAGCGAGGTGCAAGCAAGAAGACTTGCCCCGATCCTGGCAACGCATCTCGCCCTCTTGTTGGGACGAAAAATTAACGGGGCGCACACGGGAGAATTCCATTTCGGGTGCCACCCGCGGGGTGCAGAAGGTAGAGTAACATTGGCACGATGCACTTGTGTATTCGCTGTGCAAGACAGGCGGTGATTGAGAGGCTGGCCGAATGAACCCAACTACCAACCGAGCGTGTGCACAAGCAGGATTTCCGCCGGTGAACGGTAACAGCAGTATCGTGCTAAATAAGAAGGTCTGGTCGGCCGTAGAGAACTACTGTTCGATGGCGGTAAGGACACGTCACTTTACGTTTACCTCATTTGTTTGCATTGTCACGAAAGCACACCCACCACTTCACACATAAAACAGATCAGACCCCTACAGATCGAGCTATTGATATTTCTTTAGAGGGGTTGTCGATTGGACGCAGGTGATCTGTGTATGCTTGCCGTGAGGTGATCTGAAATACACAAGCATACGTGGTCTGAGTATGTTTGCTCCATGCTGACCTGAAGGACACAGGTGACCGGGGTATATCTGCCCGAGGTGATCTGAAGAAAATAGGTGGTCGGGGTATGTTTGCTCCTAGGTGACCTGGAAGACACAGGTAAATGATCTGAGTATGTTTGCTCCCTAGTAATCTGAAGGACATAGGTGATCTGAGTACATTTGCTCCATGCTGATGTATATTTTCTCCATGCTGATCTAAAGGACATACGTGATCGGGGTATGTCTACCCGAGGTGATGTGAAGGACACAGACAGGTGATCTGAGTATATTTTCTCCATTCTGATCTGAAGGACATACGTGATCGCGTATGTCTACCAGAGGTGATGTGAATGGTGAAGGACACAGACACCTGATCTGAGTATATTTTCTCCATGCTGACCTGAAGGACATCGGTGATCTGAGGATGTTTGCTCCATGCTGATCTGAAGGCATGCTCGATGCTGCTCTGTAAGATATGGGTGAACTAGCTCACGACCTGGATATCCTTCGTGTGAAAGAGCACCTTAAATACCTAGTAGGATCCACGAGGACACATCCAAGGCATGAGGAGCACCGAGCCTTACAAGCGTTCCGAGAACCACTGGGGAGGCCACTTGGTGCTTGGTGAAGAAACGGGCCTTCTACATGCCACTCGCTGGCGTGAGCGGGCGGATCACTTGCGGCACAGCTCGCAGTCACCGACCCGCAGTGCTTGCCACAGTGGTAATAGTTGACTTTGTCGAAAGCAATGGTAAATTTGGAGGTTCGGATGCGATTTAATGAAAGACGCTGATAGTCGATGGTGAGGTCAGACACAGGTTACTAACTCTGGCAGGAATTCGCACACTCTTGGAGGACGATTTTCATTCATTCGGGTGTTGTGAATACGCCGCATAGATGAGCTACTACTATTATAGATGCACAGAAAACAGAGGCACATACTTACGTGTTTCGATTAAATGGCACGCTAGTCGGCACAAATTCAGCTTGCGCGGCTAACCTGGGAATGCGGGGCTATCCTGGGAACCGACGCACGAGTGCGTTTTTTTTTTCCTTTTGTCCGCTGCTCTGCTACTTGGCCGACTATCCAACGATGCCAGGATAGAATCTGCTACCGGGGTCTCAGGATTACTGCTAGAATCTCGTCGGACTTCGATCCACCTCCTTTAACCCGAGGAGAAAATGATTCCCTCGATTTTCTACATACCGTGATGCATACACGGGGCTGGTTTCACTCGGGCATCCTGTGCTACCTGAGTTCCTCAGCTAATGGTGTACTACCGGCCTGTCTGTCTGTCTGTCTGTCTGTCTCCCTGCGGGCGAACGCTCCCGTGAAGGACCCCGTCATCCCTTGATGATAGGATTACGAACCCATCCCTTGCTCTCGTGCTTCCTTCTATTTGGCGATGGGATGGCGGTATTAGCAGCCCGGATAAGGGGCATGGTTATTCCTTCTGCTCTGGAGCAGAGGCACGTAGAACCGCCCTTATCGGAGTGCAAGCCTTCTTCGCGACTCCTTGCTGTGCCGCACGGTTACCAGGCTGCCACATCGACTTCAGGTTCGCTATTTGCGCTGGAAGTTTTTTTTTATGATCGCAGTGTTGAAAGATACCTTAGATACCTTGTTTTGCGAGTTGAAGAAGTCAACAACTTGCAAAACACGGTATCTTCCAACACTGCGGCCATCAAAAACCTTCAAGCGGAAACATCGAAGCTGAAGTCGATGCGGCAGCCCGGTAACCGTGCGGCACAGCAGGGGGTCACGAAGAAGGCGCGCACCTCCGACGAGGGCGGGTCCACCTGTGCTCCAGAGCGGAAGGAATCACCATGCCCCCTATCCGGGCTGCAAGTACCTCCATCCCATCGCCAAACGCGTTCTCAAGAAGAAGCACGAGAGCAAGGGGTGGGTTCTCCTGTCAGAGCCAGAGGCCGGTGCCGTTGCAGTAATTAGTATTCACAGGGGTGGCTTGTTTCGTTCCTTGATATGTAAACGAGGAGAGAAGTAGCGACCAGAGGGCAGAGGGAGGAGAGTCGAAGGCTCTTCCGCGTCTACGCGTCTAACCTCGGCAAGCGGCCAAAGACTGCGGAAGAGACAGATCTCAACGGCGCATTTTCTTGTCAGTAGTGCTAACAACTTGGTCGAGTGTAATGGTCTCCATGTCGGAATACCAGTTCTCGGAACATTCCTTGGGTAGGCCGAAGGCCCGGGTGCGGCTTTCCGCACTCGAAAAATTTTGGGCGCACGTTTTTTAGCGCGGCCGAAGGCGAGAAATGTTTTTGGGCCCTTGTTTTGGCTGTCAGGCGAGTGTTCGAGTGGTAAATTCCACTTGTCACCCTCCCTGAGACTGTTTAACGATAAACAACAGGTGAAATACACGTGTTATTCACAATTTTGGAGTGCTTTTCTCCCAAAATCAGGCCGAATATCCCAAATTAGCCCCTAGCTAAAACGCTGCCCTGTCCACTCAATATATTCAATGGTTCTCCCGGAAACAAACCCGAACCAAAGAACACATACTTCATGAAAAGAAATGGCCGGAAAAAGTACGTCCACACGTGGACTCGAACTCCTGATTCACGCTGGTTGTAGAGCAGTCGAGGCTAGACCTCTACTCACTCAGCAAATCGTTCGGCGGTAACGTACCTACATGGCGGAAGTGTTTTGGCGGTAGGCGGTAACGCGTTTTTCGGCGGTATCGCTATTGGCGGAGGCGGTAAAACAATAAAACGACGGTAAAACGGTGGATTACCGGGACCGCCCACCACGGCAGTAATATTCAACGGCGGAAAAATTACCAAGTAAACCCTTGGTAAATACGGAGGTGCAAGGTAAAAGCCGGTGGATTGGCTATGGTACACAAGCCTAACTGTAGGTAATTACATTCAAGTTCAGTTCAAACAGCTGTGCAGCAGTGCGCCCCCGCGTGTGTATCATTGATATGCTCTACTCGGGGGCGGTCCGAGATAACCTAACGCAGGTATGCATACCGTAAGGGTCGTTCTTAACGAAGAAATCAGATCTCGAAATCACAATTTCGATATAAGAATCAAAGAGTCGGATCTACCCAAATCCGGACAGAAATGGCCTGTGTGTCTTAACGAGAGATCTGCCAAATGGAAACGAATCTCTGCAGTCCACGACGAACAACCCGAGAGGTCCGTCGCTTGCCAACTGCCAGATTGCTGTTGTGACGTACTGTTATGACGTGGCCACACCACATGGGGAGCTATCGCTCCCGAGAAGCACACACCAAACGCGTACATGCCTCTGTGCGGTACTGACACGATGTCTATGCATGTGACACTTTGAATCGACCCTCGTCCGACGGAAAGCCGCCAATTCGTCTGTGCATTTGAAGTTCGGCAACCCACGGGAGATTGCCCCACAGACCAACACATCCCACACACGTTTTTTTTCGGGACCAGTCACGTGCAACAACGATGCGCAGTCACCCTCCCTTTGGGTTGGCTTTTTGTGCTCTTTCTTTCCTCTGTGCTCGGCGGTGGATGGAGTTCGTGTGGATGGGGGTAGGTGGGCGCGCGCCGTGTATGCGAGTAGACCTTGGTCCCGCAACTATGGACGCTGTTCACCCAAATCGGGATCCGATTAAATGATTTCACCTTTTTTCAAATCCCGATTTGGTTTTGGGTCGTCCTGTTATAAGTCCTAAAGATTCGACGAGTTCCATAACATTTCAGCCAATCAACGAAAGAGTTCTGTGGATCTTCCAGTCTTTTAACCAAATCTGAACGTGATTTCGAGATCTGATTTCTTCGTTAAGACCGACCCTAACTACCACAGCAGTAGCCAATGCCTCAGCGGTTAGTTCGTTGGTCGCTCGTCATTTTTTTTGTTGTTTTCCTCACAGGCTGACTCTTATGGCAACCGAAAGTTGGCCCGACGGATTTTTTTGGGCTGGCATACCCCCACCCCCCTCATTTGCCACGGATTCGACCAAGAGACAGACCTCTCACCACATCACCACAGAGTTCTCCCTCCATGATGGTCGGATCGTCACCAGAACTTGAAGGCTGTACGCACCACACCTATAGGCGTCTTTGAAGCTAGTGGTGACTGCTGTGGGGTCTCTGTGTGCTGAGAAATGTCAATCCATGTGAGCAAAAGTAAGAATCCGTATGGAGAATCCGTAGGAGATGCTATACGATAGTTGGCGAAACTATCGTATAGCATCAGAGATGATATACAGATGCTATACGATAGTTTCGCCAACTAGATGCTATACGATAGTTTCGCCAACTATCGTATAGCATCTCCTACGGATTCTCCATACGGATTCTTACTTTTGCTCACATGGATTGACATTTCTCAGCACACAGAGACCCCACAGCAGTCACCACTAGCTTCAAAGACGCCTATAGGTGTGGTGCGTACAGCCTTCAAGTTCTGGTGACGATCCGACCATCATGGAGGGAGAACTCTGTGGTGATGTGGTGAGAGGTCTATCTCTTGCTCGAATCCGTGGCAAATCAGGGGGGGTGGGGGTATTCCAGTCCAAAAAAATCCGTCGGGCCAACTTTCGCTTGCCATAAGAGTCAGCCTCATCCACGTGTGTGTACGCTCCATGTATGCTGAGGGGGTCCGTGAAAATAACATCCGGGGGCAACGTTTATTGGTACTGCCCGAACACAAGCCATTACAGCAACCTCTGAGATTTGGAAGAGCGCTTTCACCATGGTACCTGTGAGCACACTTCGTAGCGAAACTTCAAGGATGCCATGCACCCACAGCAGTAGCACACACACAACGGATAGCTTTTCCTCAGATTGCATACCTCTCCTAGGTAGTCCACCCCGGATTCGACGCATTCGACCTCAGCATCCGGCCCGGAACAGCAATTCTCGGCTAACCCTCCGCCGAGCAGTACACAGCTGACGACTACCGCCAGCACCACCCTGGCGATCTGGGGGGTACCAACGCGGGCTTTATGTCTGCGGCGGAGGCGGCGGCGGAGGCGGAGGCGACGGGCTCCTTGATCAACGTCCTCCGAGCTGCGCAAAAAGGAATCTCCTTGCCCAATACGAAAAAGCTTGCACCTCATATCTAAAGGCTTGTATTCGCCTCAGTGACGAACCCGGCTCGTCTTCCCCACTCTCTGCTGTCCCGTGCCTTCGGTGCTGTGGCAGCGCCGTTCGTGCGTGAAGATGTAAGAAGTGTAGATCGAGAACAGGGAACAAGGTGGGGGCGTCGAGGACGGGACTGCTGCCATGCGGCGGAACCACAACAAAAGCTTCAAAGCTTAAGCTTTCTTCCCAGTTCCGCCGCATTTGGTTCTTCAGCTCGTCTTCCTACTTCAGCCGATGCCATGTGCATGTCCCAAGGTGCCATGTGCGATCGCGCCATCGACCGTGGGATCAACGATGACTGGAAATCGCGACTAGAACAAGGCTTGAGGCGAGGTCCTGTAAAAAATGCGAATTACATCGACGGCCGGGATACAAGGTAGACTACCGAATGAACACAAGATAACACACCCCCTGAACCGATTTTCAAATCTCGATTTCTCAACAGCAGAACGAGTCACAGCGCCGAAAACGGTATCGTTGAAGCTGTCTCGTCGAGAGCATTCCGAAAATGTACAAAATTCATTTCTGCATCCTCTTCGTCGTGGGGTATTCGTGCTTCGAAAATTGGTCCAGGGGGCGTGTTATCTTGTGTCATAGGCTTCACGGCAGACTACTGCTGCTGTGGTGATGCATACACTACAAGTATACATACATTTTGTTTTGTTTTTCTCCTATGCATATGACAATGTACTCCAAAAGTCTGTTGTAGTATGACCCAACGAATCCATCTCTGAGATGAACGCACATTTTTGGATTCTCGCTACGTTCAAGTACATTTTTTTTTGGTCTGTCTGTTAGCCGTTGGGCGTATCATTTTGATGGCGTGGAGAGTAGTGCAATACCTCAACACATCCATTCGACCTTGAGCGTGGTACAAGCGTTCGCTAATTAATTACTAAATGGGCTGCTGTCCGCTGTCGCGGGCATGGTCTCGCACGGTCTCGCGCAATATATGTACAGCATCAGCAGTGTTGCGAAGAAGCTCAAGGGCGAACCACAGCTAGCTAGCAGTCGACCATATTCTTCTCACCCTCTCATCTACTACTCCGATCCGCCAACTACCCAAATAACACGTACTCAATTTTTTGGCTGAAATTTGAAGTGTCGAGCTTTCGTGAGGGGTATCGTTAGAAGCTCACGAGGTTACACAGCAGTACTGCTGCAGTTCTCAGACAAAAGGACCGTCTAACCACCCATGTACACACCTCCAACATTTTCGTCATGCTCGAATCCACGATGATGCCAACAGTTGTTGGCTTTGCGGAGGCAGAGAAAAAAAAATACATATTGGATATTGGATCCTCATTGGGCCATTCGAGAGTTATTATGTCAAAAACAAACCACGTGCGAAGCCTTCATCATCGAAGGACGTGATACTGGTTCGACATAATTAAGAAGCCCGCGATGGTTTCATCAACCTACAACTCGTGGGCTTCACCCTACAACTCGTCGTGTGCTTGATGATGGGGTCCAAACGCAACAACCGCATCCATCCGTATTCGCCGCAACCAGTAAATTTACCACCAAAAATAAAACAATACACAGCGAATTGATAACACGGACGATTCTACGCCGGAGCTACTGCCCTCCACGCAAACTGCATGCCGAGACGGCAAGCGCGATTTCCGACACCTTTGACTGTATGCGTGTGTGTCTCGCCACAACTACTGTAAGCCCAGTACACACATACACATGCCGCCCTTAGCCTCCGCTATTACCTCATCAGGCGGGAGCTGACAACACAGACAGCATCGCCGAGAGCTTATCGTCAGCTTGCGTGCTCATTTCACCCGTAGGGCCGACCATGCCGATCATGCCCAGGGCGTGGGTGACATCGACGTCCGCATACTTAATTGCTGTAAGCGCACGGAAGCAGTCCAAACCAACGCCGGCGTGCGCCTTCATGAAGGACGTGAGCACGGGCGTGATGTCGTTGATGCCTCCGAACTCTGCCGCCGTCTTAAAGGAGACGGAGACGTCAGCGCTGTCGTCGACCTCGAGGGTGCCAACGTTCAACTGCGCGGGTTTGTGGGTAGTATCGGTTTCACAAGTCAGTTAACAAACAGCCCAAAGAACGAGGAAGTTGTTGTCATGGCGAAGCACGCGTCGCCTTGGTTTGTTTCAGCGCCCCCTTGGAGAGGATGGTGGAACAGCAAGTCTTGCGAGCGGCCAGTCAGTCTCGGGCGCGACAACGAGAGGTGTTTGGTAACACTAAAAGTCATAGCTCTACTCTGAGAGGCGCCATCGGGCGTTCGTGGCCAGGGGGTGGTAGTATCGGTTTCACAAGTCAGTTGGGGTGGAAAATTCGGATTGTGAGTGTTGCCTGGAGCACGACTCTGTGTTGCTGCGTTGTGGTCTCGTGCTCCTGGTGCCATGAGCCAAAAGCACTCAGCAATATTAGCGTCGAGATCAAACCGTGGGTGCAGCAAAAAGAGGTCGAAATTGGACTCACCCTGTGATTGGCCTGCGAGACGAATTGTCGGACGGCATGGATTTGCCGAGTAGGCAGGGACCATTGAGGTTTCGAATATATTATCACCTGTCATCGAGGGTCGGGATGCACTTCGTGTCATATACTGTTGATATGCAGTAGTTTGCTCTGGTTCTGGGCTAGATACTATTGTCGTCTTGTCATCCTAAAAAAGCAAACGATTACTACTAGGGTATGCACCGGAAGGCAACAGGAAACGGCCAATTGAGACGGCAAATAAGTCGTCACCCCTTGAGTCCATACCATGTTGGCACCGTTGCGTACGAACCTCGCGACGTAGGTCTGGTGGGTAATTCAAGCCGCTAAATTAAGGTATATCCTCCTATGCCAAAATCCTGGATGCACACGAAAGTACTCCCATCATTAAGCTACCGTACCCTCGCTACTACTCTAGCCGCTTCACGGACCATGTCGTAACCAACTGAGGCTAGATCAAAACAATTGTAGCGCGGTATGCTCCTGCTACTATGCTCTGCATGCTACGCACACAGCATGCAGTGCCTAGTGAAAAAACAAAACAACTTGGCCCCTGCGACCAGTACAGCGGGTGCAACGCGATGCCAGTCTTTGTCTTCATGAAGCTTTCGGTCGAAGGTCTGTCAAGGTGTGTGGATGGATATCGAAATATAGAAGAGGAGCAATCCTCAACTACTCTTCATACCTGACGAAGTGGCTGCTTGATATGAAATGTGAACTTGAACTGGACCGGGTCGTACGTACGTGTGCCGACGGCAGCCATGTTGACCATCGTTTTGAACGACATGCTGCTTGCTCCATCAGGGCGGTCTTCAAACACGGATTCCACGGAACCCTGCTTCCAAATTAGGCAACGATCTCAACACGCTGGATGAGCGACGTAACAACTGTGGGCGGGGGTATCTGTAAACTGTAATGGCACATATAGTGTGCCCACGAAAGACCACGCACACCCACCCACCCTCGAGGGCATTAACCTGGGTCAGAACGTCATGGGAAAGAATGTTTTTTTTACGAACTTCGGGGTCGATACAGGCATCGACACACCATGTCATCCATTTTGCCTCTCTGCCCGTAGGACAAGGGTTAGGGTTATGTGTCATGAGGTCAAACACACAGACAGCGAGATGAAAAAGATTAAGCAGACATTTCTCCCGAACCAGAGTGGAAAAACACTGGTACAGTCGCGATGTACGTATAATTTGGTTTCCGGTAGCATTGCCTAATAGGGCTTTCATCAGGTACATTGTGGTGTGCGACAGAGGCCGCGATTCGTTTTGTCACTCAGCCCTTGTTCTCAAGTCTGACCAACGGGAGAGAGAGAGAAAAAAAATTGGCGTTTGCGCCTTCCTGACCTCCGTGTTCTCACGCAGGTACGGGCAACGAGCTGCTGTGTCCTGTACGTGGTCATAAATGGTGTGGGGAGGCTATTCTTCTCTTCTTCTGAAGTTATGCTTCCTGTTTTCGGATGTATGTTCCGGCGGCCGCGGGCGTGAGTACGTGAGAAAAGCTACAGTAGTATACGTGTACCGTCGATAAAAGAAATATCTGGTTCCATCGTTTCCGCTATACGCTCAAAACAAGTAGCAATCGAGTTTCCAGCATTCCTTTTCGCAGCTGTGGCTAAAACTCCATGCCGTACACGAACACGACATGTCGGGCTGACACTCGTTGACAAACCGCCGTTTTCGCAGAAGTGCCCACCCAGTCAACATGGAAGCTTCTTGCAGCACATGGAGCATGCACACAAGCCATTCATTCTACTGCTGTAGCTGGAAACGCCTAACGGCGTCTTTCTGAAATACGAGGCACGTATCTATTTGAAGTGCTACACAAGATCGTCTTCACTCACCGCTGTTTGGGCGATGACTGATGGGCAACACCCGCACGAACATGAGGTCGTCGACGTTGGCGCGAGCGGGAGAGAAACAGATGCGAATGCGTTAATATAGACACAACAGCAATCATTCGCAGGTGTGTTTTTTGGGAACGCACACCTCGAAACCAGTTTCGGTTTCACATATGCGTGGATGCTTGGCTCTGTAGGGTTGACGTCAAGGACCGGTCCACAGATCGGGGGAGTCCTATGGTCTCTAGTCTCATAACTTGCTACGTGAGAACCTTCCGAGAATTTTCCTCGGGCGGCTCTTTCTCCTCTTCGTTATAGGAGAAAAAAATAGGAGGTACTCTGTGTGTCCCTCCCCGAGAGACCTGCCACTACATGCATCGGTGTAGCTCAGTCGCTAGACCAGCTGCTGTGTCTGCAGAGAGACGGGGGATAGGGATCACTGTCTGCCCTGCAACGGCGGACAAAACCAACCTGCATTATTTTATTCCTGCGTGTATCAAGCTGTGTACAAGGTTGTTGAGGTTGGTTGCTGGAGCAACCCTCCCAAATCACGAAAGTGGTTGGCGTGTGTTTGGAACAGACTCACCTCGCTTGCATTGTTTCTCGTATTGTTTGGAGTCCATGGCGATGTTATGCTCGCAGCAAAATAATGAAAGCCGGCTCTTGAAAGTTTGCCGCTGCTGCTTTGAGCGAACTGAGCGAGCGAGCTATGTAGCTCTCTGTGGGTTTCAGCTGGTACAAAATTTATGCGGAGGGATTTTCCCGCTTTCATCCCCTGCCCCTCTGCAGAGTGTCAAACCCCTCCCCCCGCACTGCCACTTCAACACTTCAACCACAGCTGCTCTCTACTCTCTACCCAGAGGACCCAGGACTGAATTTTCACTAGTACCGCTCTCATCGCTGTCGGGTGACATCCTGTTGCAGCACAGCTAACCAAGATGGCGAGTTACAAGACACAATGCGAAGAAGGTACGAGCTTTGTATGTGGTTGGGTGCCTGGTTGCCCGACGCATTTATTTTACCCAAGGCACCTTCCGGACAACGAGCATATAGCAGTCGTGACATAGTGAAATGTTGAACACATCGGCTTGAGATACGGCTGCTGTGACCAAGGAATCGAGTTTGTTCACAAGAGGGCTAGGACGGTACTTTATCCGATGGGCACAAATCAGTTGCTTATTTTGCAGCGGCAGCCACGTTGGTCGCCACCCCAGCACCTGCTGCTGTGGGAGTTTTGGAGAAACGAGAAACACTCTTCTTGCTGCCGTGCTCCCTGCGGAGGGAAGCATCGTGTGCTGCCGGTTTCTCCGCTCCATTACAACATGTCCTTTTGCTCACACATAGATTGTTGTTGCTCAGGTTTTCTGAAATAACTGAAACAATATATTGTACCATATGCTGAAGCAAGTCTGACCTGTAGTCTACACGGCCGATCGCCTTGTCTACAACGTCTCACTGGGAACCTTCTGACACCTACAGGAACACTGGGAAGACAAGAATGCAGCTATCCCTCTGCGCACATGCGTAATATATAGATTATTGGTGAAGTCTAAGTCTTCGATACAGCGTGAAGCAAACGACTAAACCAATTGTCGAGCCTAGGCCTAGGCCTAGACTGCTGCTCTGTAGCATATACTACTCTGTACTGCTGTAGACCATCAGCGAAAATTCTCATTCTCCCAAGAATTTTCCTGGGAACGGTCCTGGCATTGTATCTGTCTGTGCGGCCGATCGAGCCCGTGGTTTTGGTATCGCAGCACCCTCGTAACCCTCTCACAATACATATGACCTGTATTTACCTGTTGATACAGCAGGTAGCCGATCGCCCCCTCCAATGATTCAGTGGGTAGGTATGCTACCCTCATGACCCTTTGACACGTAGATATGCATACAGCAGTACATATGATAACAGGCCCTGTGAGAGTTCCGGAGAAGAAGGAACTGTTCTTTCCGCAAAATTTTGGGGTGCAAACACAACAGGTGGACGATGACGATGTGTTGCTGTTTGTTGATTCTCGCACTCCTATAATGGCATAATGGCCCATCGGAAAATCTAGCCCGTGGTCATAATCCACGCATTTATGGTGCGATATATACTAAATAGTGCATGAGAAGAAAGACGAAGAGGCGTACACAAACAGTACCAAATGGAAGAAGGGCAATTTGCTGTGGTGGCCAAGCTTGGTCAAGATACCAACATGTTTCCTACACATTCAAATCCCTTAACATACACAGAAGTATCGAGTTGAAAAAACTAAAAAAGAATGCCAATCAATACGAAAAGCTTGGAAAAGGCCCACAGAAAAGAGACAAGACAGAAAAAATAATCGAGGAAGAAGGAAAAGGCAAAAGCAGTAAAAGGGGCAAAGGGGAAAGGGAGAAGGAAAAGGAAAAAGGAAAAAGGAAAAAGGAACTACTGTAGAAACGGGAACGATGAAAACAACAGAAAGAGAGAGAGAAAGAGGAAAGGTGAGTGCAAGCATAACAAATGTGCAAGCGTAATAAATGTCTCGCCACGAGGTCTTCCTGCCTACGCTTGCTAACCCCCCGCGCACTCGTATCCCCCGACACTTCGGGGCTATTGCTGCGTGCGTGTGCGATCCCATGTATCACTCATGTCCCAAGTATTATTAAATTGTGTTAACTTTGGGCACCGATGGATTCTAAACCTCGATCGCCTGGACAATATAGCAGAGGTCTTGTTTCAAGTGATGAACTATAGATCGCGTACGAAACACAACACGAACTACAAGTCATGGGTGGCTGTACACGGGCAAAGGGGCGACAGGCGCCACACATGTTATAGCCGCATCATGAGCGCTCGGCGTAGGAACCACGGTGCCAGAGACAAGGAAGAATCATTTAAACACCCGATCACTGAACCGTATAACCACAGACTCCCGGCAGGTTTGGAACAGCGGCATCCTTTTTCGTACCCACCCCGCTGGCTGCAGTCTCGGGGGAGTGATCTAACTCTGCCCCACGTAGCGAGTATCACAACATATTTCCGTGCTTGCGTCGAACACATGATTCAATGCCCTCTTTTCATGCCCGTGTGATGTAAACTTTCTCGCTCGTTGATTTCTCCAACCAAATGATGCGTCGCGTGCTTTCTTTCGCCCTGCCGTGCATCACTCAAATTCGGCCATAAACACCGAATTCAACCGGCATCTCCGTCCCTTGGCATCGTCTCCGTACGATGCAGTGCTCAGAAGCAAGGTGAGAGGCGGGTGGGGGTTACTTTGGTAGACTGGAGAGTCGCGACTGCTGTGCGCTCAAGCGAGGTACAGCTTTGTCGTTACATAGAGCGCAAGAGCACTCGTTACCTGCTGTAGGAGCGTTTGTGTGGCTAGGGGTAGGGTCGCAAGCTGGCCAGTTTCGGTCACTAGCGCCCGTATGCATTGTGCTGTCATGAACCAGCTTTGTGGGTATTGATTCTTTTTGAACGGCCGTTCTGCAGGAGGAGCGAGTTGGGGCCTAACATCTTCATGCGTCATTGTCAAACCATTGCATTTATCCGTGAGCACCGAATTTATGTTTTTGTCCTGGCTGGGTTGTCGGGAGCTTGACGTCAAAGAAACAACACCCACACCACGACAGCGCCCGAAGAACTATTGTATCATCTGATGGATCAAAGGTCACCCAGCCCTGTGAGACGAGCGCCTGAGAAGACGCCAAACGCATTCATTTAATTAAGCGTCCAGTCAAACGGCGTGAATTCCAAGTTTTCCTAGTTCCTGGGGAAAAACCAGGAGTTAAGCAGCAAACATCACCTGACCACAACACAACGGGGTTTTACAATCAATCGTAAAATGAGCCATACCGTCGATAATTGGTTCAGTTGATTGAAACCTTCGTACAGAATATGGGTCGAAAACAGCCGAGGTTGGACGTGTTGGCCTCAGGTATGATGCTCAAGCCACGGAAATCCGGTCATTGGCCGGAGTGTACCGAGAACGCTCGCCTCCCGTAGGTTAGCGGTTACACGGTCGGTCACACCTGCGACACTCACTCGGCATACGCCGGCAAACTTGCCATGTATAAGCGCGATGCGTTGTTGTCCCAGTTGTTCATTTTGTTTTTGCCACGTGTTTCGTTTTGTTTTGCTCGGGCTGCTTTCTATCGTGTGGTTTATTTTTCCGCAGGGTATCGCGAACTTCGCGCGGCGAGTTGGGCGCGGGAACAGCGACTGGGAGACGCTGGTGTTCGATGTTGGTGTCGATGGCTGGAGCGCGCACTTCAGTGTGAACATCAACCAGAAAGGAAACATGGTACGCAGGACCCAGTGCTGCTTCCGCCAATGTCCCACTCAACGATACCATGTGCCTTGCGTAACCTTCTACGAAATATGGCTACTTTACGCGTGCTTAAGGGGGAGAGGGGATGGAGGGATATTCTTCGTGCCCCCATTGCACTTGGGGTTGTCGAGGAGCTACTCGTCGAAATGCCCGCGGTGATGTGAGGGATGTATAGCAACCCATCCTTGCGTTGTGAGCATGATTATTGATGCCGCGATACGTACAAGCCGTCGAGATGCAACTGAGACGAGCCTTGGGGTATTACCGTACATGGAATTCAAGAAGTGTCCTCTTTTCTCTCGAGAGGCAATGCGCTGATATGTAGACAGGCCCAATAGCTGTAGACATCACGGGCGGGTTTGTATCTCGTGTGAGTTCATCACATGCCTCAAGTCGAAACGATCAGAAGTAAGTGTTACTTACGCGCCAGTAGGTTGTATCATCATCTCGCCCAACCCGTAGCGCGGACGTCACAGAATGTGTGGCTCACGAGTATGCCCAAAAGAACCTAGTCGACCACTTGTTTCGCTTCTTACGGGCTGACACCCACAATCTACAATACGGACCATTGAGCAACAAGCCTTCATTCAAAGACCAATAGCCATGTTTCCCAAGGTGTCAAAGGAGAACTTCCTCGAAACTTTGGTGTACGTATTTTGACCACTTTTGATTCCGCAAATTCCACGTGATTCGCAAGGGGGGACGACCCGACTATCGATAGCCCATGTATCATGTATGTATTGGATTGGTCTTTCTTCTTGCGGGGCACGATACGATTTGGTCCTTTCGTCAATGATAATCGTGGACACATGGCGTACCACTGCAAGGGATTTCAGCCGCATGGTGTTCTGGCCGCTTGGTTGCATGACACGCCTTTATATGTCGGCAATGTTCTCCCCCCTTTGCTGCTGTTGTTTCCAGGTACACATACTTTCGCAGCCTGAATGGAAGACAATGCCCTCGAGCAAGTTGGCGCAAACGCTCCTTTTTGTGACGCTCCTCAACTGGGAGGTACGTGCGTGCCGGGAACAAAAGACTTATGTGTACATGGCAGCATCGGCATGTTGTGTTGTGGGCACGATTTGCATGGCAATGCAACCTGTAAACTGTGAACTGTGTCTGTGCAAAATTTTACGTTCCACACCGTGTTTGTCACCGTTCGCCCCATCAACAGAACCAATACCAACCCTACAACTATCGAATCACATGTAGCCTGAAATGCGGTTGCCGCGTAAAGGCACACTGGAGTCTGTCATGGCCAAGCCCCCAAATGGACGTCTGCCATTCACCAACACCCCCTAGTTTCCTGGTGTGCCACTACTCTAGACATCCTATTACTACAGAACGCATGGGACCCTTCCAATTCCTTTCCCCCAACTT